CTAACCTTCATGTGACCCCCTCTCCAATCCCACTGAGCGCAGGTCCTCAATCTTACTAGGGACTCAACAGACCAGAGGAGTAGACTGGTAACAAGAGAGAGGGCTGAGAACCCAAGTTGTCCAAAGGGTTCCAGGGGAAGTTAGGGGGATGGTACATTGCCAGTGACAAGAAAATGTCCCACTAGGCGCTGGACCCACATAAGTAGTTTTACATTAGCTCTTTTAAGCCTCACCATCAGCCCTTCAGCCACACTGGCTTTCTGCCTTTGCAGTCACATTGTTCCTTCTCACCTCAGGATATTTGTACATGCTCTCTATGCCTTCTCAAGGATACTCCTATCACCCTTCACTGAAGTGTCTTTTTCCCAAGGAGACCCTCTTCAATCTCTCAGATGGGGTCACACCTTTGTCATATGCTCCCCATTTCCCTACCAACAGCACTCGCCCTAGTTTTGAATTATACATTTATTCTTGAGGGTCTGTTTTATCCCATAACTGCCCAAGAAGGTAGGGGCTATGTCTGGCTTGCTCACCACTTTCTCCCCAGCACTCAGGACAATGCCTGGAATATAGTAAGTACTCAAGAAAAGAGGAATCCAAACTCACAATGAGGAAATTGAGATTCAGTGAGGGGAAGCAACTTTCCCCAAATGAGTGGAAGAACTTGGCTTTAGACTCAGACCCGTCTGGCTCCAAAAGTTGGTGTGCTGAGCCTCTTTGCTAGGTATGTCTTTGCACGCTTGCCCAGAGTCCCTGGTGTCATGGGGTCTAAGTCTGGCTAAGTGGGGTGGTGGCAGGTGCCTGACATGTGAGGAAAGAAGTGTTGGCACACAGGTGAAGGTGCCTGGCCCTGAGCCCATGGGCAGTCCCTGCCTAGCTAGATGGGTAATGGAGGCACCGACTCGCTGGCCCATGCCTGCCTCCCAGAACAGCCATGCATGATGACTCAGGGTGCTCCCTGGGCCCCACCTGGGGCTCAGTGACACAGCAAGTGTGGGCTGTGAGCAGCTGGTTGCAGGCAAGCAGCAGGGCTCCTGTGGCTGGGGAATGGCTATCCTTGTCCCCTGCCCCCTGCCCTTTGCCGACACCATGTAGGTGTTTCTCCTCTGTTCGCCTAGTTGGAGCGGCCCCTTCTGTCCCACTCCTCTCGCTGTGCAGGCAGGGCCTGTGGATGCAGGCTGCAGCCTTGCCCATGGGGCTACAAGGGCAGTGTGGATCCCCTCCGGGTCTCAGGCACCAGGGTGTCCTGAGCTGATGTGCGCTGCACCTCACTCATGTGCTGGAGGCTTCTGGCAGGTGTTCAAGTAGGACTCAGAGGGCAGGGCCGGAGTCCTGTGAGGGTAGGAGCGTGAGCCATGTCACACGGCCCTGAAGAAATCAGTTACTCTGCCCAGGGCTTGGTGAGCCTCCCCTATCACTAAACTTGAAGGGATGGCACCCAGGGGCCACCAGAGGAGGGCCTCATTTCTGGCCACAGCAAGCACTGTGCTTGGCCTTGGAAGTAGGGCTCAATGTGGAGAGACCTGACAGATGTGGGAAGCAGGGCCGCACATGGGGAGTAGCTGGGCATTTGTCCAGAGACCCCTCCAGATGAGGCCTGATGCACGCACTGTATTTATGGCCCCTGACACTGTGTATGGGAGGGCTTCTCATGAGGAGACTGAGGCCAGGCCCCAGGGTAGGGAGGATGGGGCTAAGAGGCAGCCTCTGCTCTGTCCACCCTACTGCTTCCCTGAGCCCCAGTGAGGAGTGCTGGATGGAGAGAGCAGAGAGAGAGAGAGAGAGAGAGAGAAAGCTCAGGAGAGGGTAGCAAGCATTGGAGCAGATGTGCAGGGACAACCAGATGTGGGAGAAAGGCCTGACCTCTTAGCACCCAGGGAGGGGAGAGGAGCTGGCTGTGACTAGGATTTCCTTGTGCAGGTAGAAAATTGGCGCCATAAGTCCGAAATTTGTGGGACATCCAGATATGATAGTCTGCCTGGAGCACATGACCTCTTAAGTCCTCACCATACTGGCACCCTGGGAGATGGGCATCCCCATGGGCAGCCCAGCCTTCCTGGGTAGCTGCAATGGAATTCTGAGGATTGCCATGAGCTGCTCTGAGCTGCAGGGGGTTAGGGCCAGCTGGAGGGTGGTGAGTTGAGGAGGTGGCAGGGGTTGGAGGGCTTGGGACCAGGCCTGGAAATGGGCTCTCTCATAAGAGCCAGCTGGGTAGAGGTACCCCAGCTGGGAGCTTCTGGTCAGGCAGGCAGGTCTCAACTGCCCTGACAGAGTCAGACCCAGATGTTTAGGACACCCTCCCCACCAGCCCCGAACATGAATGCATTTGCAGAGAATGCACGTACAGGGCCCCAGAGATGCTGCTCTGCTGGCTCTTGCTTCCCCTGCTCACCCCAGCCCTGCCAACTCCTCCTCTATTCGGCTAGGGTACCCGAGACCTGGGGTTTACACCCTGGGGTGGCAACATCACCCGGAGATCAGGGGAGGGGGTAAAAAAGGATAAAGTCTTCCTAAATCTCCAATCACATTGCAGGCAGGTGCTGGGCTCACCAGCAGAGCTCGGCAGGAACCTGGGAAAGGTATTACCAACAACATGCTTGCCACCAACCTTGATCTAAGGGTTTCCCCGTGCATTAGGCATTCACAAAATGCCTTCAAGATTTTGTGTACTGTTTAATTTTTTATTTGACATTTAATATTTGATATTAATATTGTGTACTACCATTTAAGTAGTTACTGCATTTTGATACATCAGCTAAATGTCATGTCAACAAATACATGTTTATGAAGGAAATCCTATACCACTGTATTACTACCAAAAAAAGAAAATGAGAATCACTGGTCAGAAAAAGAAGGAAATAATAGAAATAAATACTTTACTTCTAACTAGATGCTGTTGCTTTCTACAGGTTCTGCGCCCAAGGCCAGCTTTGGTTTGTGAAATGGCGATTGGCAACTAGGGAGGTATGTTGAAGGGGCTGTCGGGTCCACCTGAGATTTTTCTCCTTGACTGATCAGAAGATTGAGAAATAGATAAAGGAATATTTTTCTCACCAAGTGACTCAATATTATTTAACAGAGTCTCCATGTGTCGCCCAAAAGCATCTCAAGAAATGTTGGTCCTTTATGAAGCCTGAACAACAGCCCAGAGGTCATTGCCTTTTCCAGAAACTGTTACCGACCACCTGGCATCTCTTCTCACCTTTAGCTCTTAGCCTGTCCTACTTGGAATGATTGGTTATCCTTCTTTTATTCTGTATGCGTTGGACAAGGCATGGTGTTGGGCACTGGGATGAGTATAAGATGAGCAATGGAGCAAAGTGCAAAGCCAGAGGAAGAGGACACAGGAAGGCTTCATGGAGGAGGGGGGCACACAGATGGGTCACCAGAGATAAGGAGGAGTCTCTGGGTAGAAAAGATGGAGGAGTGTTTGAATTGGAGCAAGCCAGAAGCGCTGAGCATTATCTGAGGTTTGGAGGGTGTTTGGGAGTATTGCAGGATTTGGTTAGCAGGTCTGGGGAATGATGGCAGACAGGGCCAGAATGGAAAGATTGATATGAGCCTTGAGTGCCAGGAAGGTAGACCTTATGTTGGATGTGAAGGGAAGTGACTGGAGTGATGTGGTCACACCCAGGTTTGGAAAGACCACTTTGGCTGCTGCATGGAGGAGAAGTCAGAATCGAGAAAAGCAGGAAGAGCAGCTATGAGCTGATGGCAAATCCAGGTGAGGGCAGAGTCCAGAGGGCTTCTGGGATTGAGTGATCAGAGGCAGTCAAACCATTTCTCCAGCACTTCTTGTGTGTCTCTTCCTAGGAGACCAGCACACCCTTAACATCATCCTTTTACAGAGAAGGGAGTAGAAGCACCGAGTATATAACTTGCCAAAATCACACAGCTCGTGAGTGGGGAGCAGGGGTTGACTCTGGTAGTCTGTCACCAGAGGGACCCCACCCCTGCCCCGGCCCTGCTGCCAGCCTCCTCACCTCTGTCTTCTGGCTTTGTTCACCAGAACATGCTTCTGTCTTTCCATCTGGAGCAGGGGGCTTGCAAATTCCAGGAAGACTGGAAAAGCCACACATCTCTGTATCCCTCTCGGGACTCAGGAAAGGCTAGGCAATCAACCAAGGTCAATTCCATACCTGGGCTGGGTTCCTGCTGGGCTCCTGCTGAAGGACCAGGACAGTTGAGCCCCTTGCCTTCCCGCCCAAAGGTCAGTCAACATCAGCACCACTTTATTTCTTCAGTCTTCCTCTCTGCATCCTTCGCATGAACCCTACTTTCTGTTTCCAAGCCCTGGTAGGCATGTTGCTTTATCACCATTGTGGCCTTTGTGTCATGCCACTTGCCTCCTTCATCAACCTGGTGTCTCTGAGAGCCAGGATAGGGCTCCCCAGCAGACTGGGGCTCTGAGAGGGCAGGGGCTGGGCTTCCCCCCTCACTGGTAGCTTTCTGTGGGCAGAGGTGGTGCTTCCCCCATCCTTCAAATAACTTCTTAGTACTCCAGTCCTCGTTCACCCACAGTGGGCACAAGGTGGGAGCAGCAAGGGGCGCAGACAATGATAATCATCAATGGGAGAGATGACTCTACTCCTGGGAGTTTCTATCCCAGAGGGGCTAAGTCTCAGCTAAGTCTCTGCTGTTGGGCCAGCTGGAGACCAAACTCTAGGATCTAGGTCACCCCCTTGGCAGCAGAGCTGATTTATGGTGCCCCTGACAGCCTAATATCACCAAATTACCCCACACAATGGAGAGAGGCTGGGCTGCCTCCTGGCAGTCGCTAAAGGACGCTGAGCCTGGGGCAGCCCTGCCGCCTTCTGATCCCAGACCTCCTTTGGGTCTGTGAGGGAGGGGGCTGGTGCAGACAGAGGCACACCCAGGCGTGCCATCATCAACTGGGGGTATAAGTAGGAAGCCTTGGGGACAGCTCTGTACCCTGCACTCGGGAGCCAGTAGCACTCAGACGACTACTTCCTGTCCCACAAGCTGCAGCAGAGCCAGCCATGAATCGCAGACAGTTCTTGTCCTCCCACTGCAGCCATGACAGCTCTGGGGGTGGTGGGGGCAGCAAGATGTTCTCCTGCAGCCGCAGCAGCTTTTCAGGAGCTGGTGGAGGAGGGGGCCGATTCAGCTCTTCTAGTAGCTTCGGAGGGGGCAGCTCTGGGGCTTGTGGGAGGGGAGGTGGTGGCAGTTTTGGATCTAGCTACGGTGGAGGATCTGGGGGCGGTTTTAGTGCTGGTAGCTTTGGGGGACATTCTAGGGGCTTCAGTGGTGGTTCTGGAGGAAGCTTTGGGGGTGGATTTGGAGGAGGCTTTGGGGGCTTTAGTGGTGGTTCTGGAGGAGGCTTTGGGGGGCCTGGGGGATTTGGCAGTGGCTTTGATAGTGGTGCTGGTGGTATTCTGGGTGCTGATGAGAAGACCACCATGCAGGACCTCAATTCCCGGCTGGCCTCCTACTTGGATAAGGTGCAGGCATTGGAGGATGCCAACAAGGAACTGGAGAGTAAGATCCGGGAGTGGTATGACAAGCAGGGGCCTAGGGCCTTCCATAGGAATTACTCCCCCTACTATGACACTATTGAAGACCTCAAGAACCAGGTAGGTGGGGAAACTCTGACCCCTCTCTCCTGGTCTCTCTGCCTCACACTCACACACACACACATACACTCACATGGTTTATCTTCCAAAAAAGTCAGATGCTAGACTCTAAGCTTAGATCATCGTCAAGGAATCCATTTTTTTAAGAAACATTATATTTTCATCAGAAACAGAGTTTGTTTGGTTCTTGATGGCACCAGGGCTGGGACTTTGGCCTGTGCTCTAGGCTTTAATCACCATGTTCAGAGTCTGAGCAGAGCAGTGAAGAGGCTTAGATTAACATGGGTGAGCCTGAGACTGGATGTGGGGATCTCCTTTTGGAGCCTGGCCAAGAGGTAGTGGGGTAGTGGGGAGGGAATAAAGATGGGGGCACTCCCCTTTATGAGCCAGGGATGTGATCCTGGGTCTGTCATCAATTCACTATGTGACCTTGGGAAACCTGATGCCCTCTCTGGACCTGTTCTATGCATTTAATACAGAGGATGGGCAGACCAGCTCTTAGGTCTCTGTTGGCTTAAAACTTCTGTAATCATGCAAAAAAGAGGTAAGAGAGCTACTGCCCCAAATTGGTAGATCATATGGCTCAAGGGAGGAGAAAATCTGTTCCTGTTTCTCCTCTCACTCCCTAAGAATTTAGAGCAGAAAAACTAGAAGCTGTATCTATTCCTTCCTACCTCTCCTGGGCTCCTATAGAGGCCTGTCTTGATATTTTCAGTTTTGTTGGACCTAGGTACACATGCTAGTTGTTTAAGTGATAACAGGATCTAAAACTCTGGGGATGGAAGTAATCTATCCACTCTTCCATCTCCCCACACGCTGCCTCCACATACCAATCCTCCCACCATCCATCCATATATCAACTCATCTATCCATCCAAATTTCCATCTATCCATTTATTCATTCATTCACCCAATTTAATGAATAACTGCCTTCCATGTTGCCCGTGGCAGACATAGTGATGTACCAGACTTGGTCTCTGTCTTGAGGAGCTCACAGTCTAGCTATAGTTTGCTGTTCCCGCCTATCTCCCTTGCATTTACAACTTCTGCTAAACAGCCTCTAGATATCCTGTTTCTTCTATCCCACACCTCTCCCGTCTACTTTATCCATGTGCAATCCTAGCTATCCTTCAGGGATCAATTCTATTGTTACCTCCTCCCTGAAATCTTTCTTACAGTGCCATAGCCATATGTCATCTCTCCTTTCCTTGAGCTCTTCTATGATACTTTGGATGTGGTAGTTGACTGTGGGTTCCCTGAGGAGCAATATCTCATTGATGTCTAGACCTCACAGTGTTTGTTGTAGTAAATCTTCAAATATTTGTTGAATTAACACTGAACATCCTTGCTGAAGCCTGTGAGAGGTCTGTGCTGTGTACCAGCTTTTGGAAGCTCCTTCTACCTCTTAAGCATCTTCCTGGATGGCGTTCTTATCTCTTATGGCTTTGCCTGGCTTCTTGCCTCCTAGCAATGAGTCATAGAAAAGGAGCATGAGTTCCATGCCATCTCCTCTTTTTCTTAGATTGTGAACATCACAGTGGACAACAATAAGACCCTCCTGGATCTTGACAACACTCGAATGACATTGGATGACATCAGGATGAAGTGAGCCCTGCTCCCACTCCCTATGCTGTCATCAATCTTCCTCCACCCCCTAGTGCTCTGAAAGTCCCTTTGGGACTGGTGTCCTCTTGCTCATTCCCTACCTGTGGCTGTTCTGCAGGTGTGATATAGAGAACAACTTGCGACTAGCTGTGGATGCTGACATCAATGGCTTGCAGAAGGTGCTGGTTGACCTGACCATGCAAAAGTCTGACCTGGAGATGCAGTATGAGTCTCTGCAGGAGGAACTGATTGCCCTCAAGAAGAATCACGAGGATGTATGGTCCTGGCTTCTTATGGCTTATTGAGAAAAAGGAGGAACAGAAGTTGCAGAGACAGTGAAGGGATAGCTATGGGCACTGACACCCTTTTCCTGACTTTTGAGGACACTCCCAGTGCCTCCTTAGGAGTGCCTATGGTGGTGGTTGGGCTTTGCCTTCACAACTGTGCCTCCTTTTTGTATCTCTGAGGAAGCAGAGGGGGACGGCTAAGACCTGGTGGAGAGGATCCCACCCTTTGACCTCATATCTCCTTGGTTCCTGGCAGGAGATGAGCCAGCTGACTGGACAGAACTCTGGAGATGTCAATGTGGAGATGAATGCTGCTCCTAGCAGAGATCTCACCAAGATCCTCAATGACATGCGTGAGGAATATGAGCGAATCAGTGCTAAGAATCGTAGGGACATTGAGGAGCAATATGAGACTCAGGTGAGCAGAATGGGCTGCCCATTCAACATTCTCTTTCTCTTCCATGGATCTCTCCATTCCTCTACCCCATCTCTCTATTCCCCCATCCCTCCATCTCTTAGTCCAGCTGTTATCTATCCATCTTCATTCATTAACCACAAACACAATTATTAAGTAGCTTGTCAGTGCCAGGTTTTATGTGAAGTCCTGATGTCCCAGAGATGAGCCAAAATGAGACTGCTGTCCTCAAGAAGGTTATTACATATGTGAACAGTTTGTTACATACTGAACATTTACTTTCAATTATCTATTACATTTGTGAATACATGTGAACAAAGGCCGAGCATGAACAACTCATGTAAGGCTATGTGCCATCAGAATCTAGTAGAGGTACATGGTGTGCCTCTCATGCCACACGGAACCTCCTTGGGCCTCCAATGCCTAGCATAGACCATAACCCCTGGCCTATGAGAGCATGATCTGTGGGGTGTGTGTGTGTGTGTGTGTGTGTGTGTGTGTGTTTGGGGGTCAATTTGAAATAAGGTTAGAAAGATGGTTTGGGGACAAGTGTGAAGAGTCTTGAAGCCTTGCTAAGAGGGAATGCTAAGTTGAGAGAATTGGATCACCTTGGCTGGCTAGCAGACCCAGAACTCAGGATGATTTGTCCTTAGTTTTGTCTCACTCTTGGCTACAGAGGCAAAGGTCCTGGTGAGTGGGGCAGAACTTTTCCCATTGCAGCCTCTGGTCCAGCCTGATTCTCACTGAGTTCTTGGGTTTTCAGATGAGCCAAATGGAGCAGGAAGTGATGAGTAGTGGCCAGGAGATGGAGTCCAACCACAAGGAGGTGACCCAGCTCCGGCACAGCATCCAGGAGATGGAGATTGAGCTGCAGTCTCAGCTCAGCAAGGTTGGTAGTTCTGCTCTAGAACCTATTCCAGGATGGGGCACTGAAGGTGTGGTATGATCCCTAGGAGTGGGAAGGGAAGAGCTATGATGTAGCATCCCTCTTATAGCCTCTTCCTGCCTCCTAGAAATCGGCCCTGGAGAAATCCTTGGAGGACACCAAGAACCACTACTCTGGCCAGCTGCAGCAGTTGCAGGAGCAGATCAGGAGCCTGGAGGGCCAGATCACTGAGATCCGGGGAGAAATTGAGTGCCAGAATCAGGAATATAGCCTTCTGCTCAACATCAAGACACGGCTGGAGCAGGAAATTAAGACCTACCACAGTCTCCTTGAGGGTGGCCAGGAGGACTTGTAGGTTCCCCAGGACTCTGTGGAATCCCTGTAATTTCTAAGTCCCTGGCACCACATTGTCCCTGGTGTCTGGGGAAGTTCCTGTACACAAGGATTCTGATGGGTTGGGGACTTCTTCATCCTAGGAGAACCTCAAAGGCTTTGGAAAAGGGGTTTGGTAACAAAGAGAGAAGGGACTAGTGCTTACTCCAGGGAGAGGAAGGCTCTCCTCTTAAACTGTGGTGCCAGCCCAGCCTGTTCTCTGCCTTGCAGAAGGAAAACTTAGGGATACTCACATTTGGGTCTTGACTCTGTCCAGATCCACCCTTGAATATGTATGTAGGGTCATTCATTTTTCTCTCTGTGTTATCTTTCCTTCTCAGTGAATCTCATGAATCTGGACAAAGTCATTTTGGAAGTGGCGGAAATAGACAGCAAGGTGGAAGTGGAGGCAGTCATGGAAGAGGATCCAGGGGAGGGAGTGGTGGCAGCTATGGTGGAAGAAGTAGTTCTGGAGGAGGGAGTGGAGGCATCCATGGAGGAGGAAGTGGTGGCAGCTATGGTGGAGGAAGTAGTTCTGGAGGAGGAAGTAGAGGCAGCCATGGAGGAGGAAGTGGTGGCAGCTATGGTGGAGGAAGTAGTTCTGGAGGAGGGAGTGGAGGCAAGGGAGGAAGTGGAGGCAGCTATGGTGGAGGAAGTAGTTCTGGAGGAGGAAGTGGAGGCAGGGGAGAAAGTGGAGGCAGCCATGGAGGAGGAAGTGGTTCTGGAGGAGGAAGAGGTGGTGGCTGTGAAGAAGGAAGTGGATCTGGAGGAAGAAGTGGTGGCAGCTATGGAGGAGGAAGTGGATCTGGAGGAGGAAGTGGTGGCAGCTATGGTGGAGGAAGTAGTTCTGGAGGAGGAAGTGGTGGCAGCTACGGTGGAGGAAGTAGTTCTGGAGGAGGAAGTGGTGGCAGCTATGGTGGAGGAAGTAGTTCTGGAGGAGGAAGTGGAGGCAGGGGAGGAAGTGGAGGCAGCCATGGAGGAGGAAGTGGTTCTGGAGGAGGAAGAGGTGGTGGCTGTGAAGAAGGAAGTGGATCTGGAGGAAGAAGTGGTGGCAGCTATGGAGGAGGAAGTGGATCTGGAGGAGGAAGTGGTGGCAGCTATGGTGGAGGAAGTAGTTCTGGAGGAGGAAGTGGTGGCAGCTACGGTGGAGGAAGTAGTTCTGGAGGAGGAAGTGGTGGCAGCTATGGTGGAGGAAGTAGTTCTGGAGGAGGAAGTGGAGGCAGGGGAGGAAGTGGAGGCAGCCATGGAGGAGGAAGTGGTTCTGGAGGAGGAAGAGGTGGTGGCTGTGAAGAAGGAAGTGGATCTGGAGGAGGAAGTGGTGGCAGCTACGGAGGAGGAAGTGGATCTGGAGGAGGAAGTGGTGGCAGCTACGGAGGAGGAAGTGGATCAAAAGGTGGAAGTGGAAGATCATCTCAGGTCCAGTCCTCTTCCTCCAAATCTGGTGAATGTGATGATACACAAGGTAAGGGACAATTCTAGCTTGTGGGGTCAGGGAGGCACAGATGTTAAGCTGTCAAGGTACCACCACTTTTTGAGTATCTTTGAGCTTTTCTGGGGAATGCATATTCTGAAGAGTACTAGATTTTAGGGAGGTCACTAGTGAGGTGTCTGACTTGCCCTTGTTTCTGAATTATCATTAATTTTTATTGAGCTTTGGGTGAGGATAGAACAAAATCTACACATGGCCTGAGTCTCAATGGCATAGGAGATGGGTTGGGAGTTGTGCATTATCTTACATACTTCCCACCACATCCTATGAGGTGGGTATTGTTATTATACCCATTTTGGAGATAAGGAAAATGAGTTTCAGAGAAGACATGTAGCTTATTCAAGATCATACAAAAAATAAATGAGGGACTCAGCTCTGTGGGTCTTCATAGCCAGCACTTTTAATCATCACGAGGATGGGGAGATCTGGATCAGCAACAGTTCAAGTAGAAATGAGGTTCAGGTGTTGTCATCAGTGGTTAGTTCATACAAGTCAGTTATCTGGTGCAACCGTCTAAAAGGGCATATACTGAACACAATAATCTCAATGTAGGAGAGTCACACAGTGAAGTGGTCTCCAGCTCAGAGAAAGTTTCCCCTTGTGTATGCTGAAATTTATAAAACAAGAATTTAATATGAAATTGTAGTAAAAGCCTGGATAACACAACTGGGAATGTTTAGGTCCAAGAAGCCTTCAAGTGCACGGGAGCTGTCCTTCTTTGGGTGGGTGGTGTGATTTTTGTGTGTCAAGTGGCACTGCAGGGCCATGGATGTGCATGTATAGGCTGGGGCCATCCTTGCCTAAATATATAAGAAATTTACTAATAAATCTGTTGAATGGAGGAGGGACCAGGCTCATGAGCCTTCATCTTCAGAAATGGGAGAGTATCTGTTAGGGCTGCAGGACAGCTTTAGGAATGAGATGGAGGCCACTGGGATCCCAAGGTCCTTCCAACTATTTGAGCTCCAATCTTCTTGCTCCCAGTTTGTCCACCTTTCTTTAAGTCCCAGTCTCCCTGTCTCTTGTTCTAGGTTCTCTCTTCACACTCTTACCTCTCTTCTGTCTCTCCACAGGCTACCACATTCGATACTAGAGCTCCTGTAAACTCTCCTGGCCCTGCCCCAGCCAAGTATTCTCCAGACAGGCAGCCCCCAGATGAAGCCTGCTCATTGTCTTCTGGCATCAGAAATAGCTGGCAACAAGGCCCAGAGCTCATGTGGAACTGGGCTGAGTGGGCATGTGTACCCTTGGGAGGGTTGGGGAGATCTCTCTTCAACTGTTTGGTCTGGGGTTGATCCCATTCCCTGCCCGATCTCAAGTTTCTAATAAAGCTTTCCTACTGCAAATCAAACTTGGACTTTGACCCATTTGTTCTTTGGGATTAAGAAGGGACAGAAAGGAGGTGAAGGGAGAATCAAATGAATGTAGTCTGTGTGTTGGTTAGGTTTTCTATCAGTTGACTTTTGCTTGTAACAAAGCAACCCACAATTTAGTGGCTTAAAATGACAACTATTTATTTAGCTCGTGATTTTGCATTTGGCAGTTTAGTCTGGGCAGTTCTATTTTCCTGCATGCATCTATGGTCAGCTGCAAATTGGCTAGTGGCTCTGCCTCTGGGGCTTGGCTACATGCTGTTTGAAGGTGCTGGGTGTGAATGAGATACATGACTCTCATCCTCCAGCTGGCTAGCTCAAGCAAGTGTCCCAAGATAACGAGTAGAAGTATGCAAAGTCTCTTGAGGCTTAGGCTCAGAGTAGTCACTTTGGCTGCATCTTGCTGTCCAAAGCAAATCCCAACCTTGGTCAGATTCAAGAGCAGAGGAAATAGATTCTCCTTGATGGGAAGAGCTACAAAGTCACATGGCAAGGACGTGGATATAGAGAGGGCCATAACTGAGGCCAGTTTGTGCCAACAATCTGCCACAGTCTATTAGGAGGTCATGTGCTAGTTACAGAGGAAAGCAAGACAAAAAAACATTGTGGTTTTGCTTTGGAAAATTTCATAGATGGTAAAAAATATAGCACAAATAAAATGCTCTAAGCCACAGTAATGAATATTCCATAAGACAGCAGCCAACAATATTCTCCAAGGATTCTGATTGGGCCTGATACAAAGCTCCTTGTCCTGACTAGGGACAGATGGCTCCTCAGCCTATGTTCCGGGTTTTACAGCTGCATATCAAAACTTCCCAAAGCTTAGAGGCTTAAAAGAACAATGATGACATCTCAATCACATAAGCTCTTTAAAAGGAAAGAGTTTTCTCTGGCTGGTTATAGAAGAGAAGTATGAGAGACACCTGAGTGGCTTAGTGGTTGAGCATCTGTCTTTGGCTCAGGGTGTGATTCCAGAGTCCCGGGATCGAGTCCCACATCGAGCTCCCTGCCTGGAGCCTGCTTCTCTCTCTGCCTGTGTCTCTACCTCTCTCTCTGTGTCTCTCATGAATAAATAAATAAAATCTTAAAAAAAAAAAGAAGAGGAAGTCTGAGATTTGAAGCACAAGATTTTGATATGCCACTTCTGGCTTGAAGATGAAAGGTGCATGTGGCAAGAAATGTGGGTGGCCTCTAGCAGCTGAGAGCCACCAAGAAAAAGAGAATCTCAGCCCTCCAGTTGCAAAGAACTGAATTTTTCCAAGAATAAGAAAGAGTTTGGAAGCAGATTTCCCACCAGAGTCTCCAGATAAGAACTCAGACTGGTAGACACCTTAATTTCAGCCTTGTGAAACAGAGAACACTTCATAGAGAACCCAGTCATACCTGCAGAGCTGTGAACTAATATATGGGTGCTACCTTAAGCTTCTACATTTGCAGTAATTTATTAAGCAGAAATAGAAAACAAGTACAGACCTCATCTCAGGATGGAGGAGTGTCAATGTCACATTGAAGATTGGTATGTGGGAAAAAAAAGGAAGACTGGCATGTGGAATGGTAAATATTGATCTTTGGAAAACACAATTTGCCATGGATTGGCCAAATTATTGGGGGAGAGGTTACATAAGCATAAACTTAGGGCAGTAAGTAGCACAGAAGCTCAGGAAAACTTGAGATCCTGGGATTTATGGAGATGGAAGTTGAATGGCTCTACCAGATTGGTGGAGTGGTGAGAGTTTTTGCTTCTTTCCTTAGTGCTCCACCCCTTACTGCACAGCTGACTACTGTGTTATCTGATTCTCTTCCTGCTACTAGCTGTCTTCCTCTCCTACCACTTTATAGCTTCTCTCTTCTTCTACTTGGAGAACTATCCATCTTGAGTCAGAGGCTCCCCAAGGGAGAAGCTAGAAACTTGCTTTCCCAACCTCCCTTGCAGCAAGTGCAGGAGTACGTGACACAGCTCTGCCAATCAGGTGCTTCCACACAAGACTGATTTGAATGTGAAGGAAGCAGTGGGTGGAATCTAATATGACAGGAACAGAGCTGGGGCAGAGACACACAGTTTATTGAGGCTACAGTAATGGTAGCTCTGCAGGGATATGCAGTGCCCAACATCAACAGTTTGACCTGAAGTTCTGTGCGCAGTAGCAATGGCAGAGGCATCTTCCTGGTACAATCCTTTAGAGTGATGTGGGCAATATTTCTGGTTGCCCATACCCCAAATCTGATTCTCTGCATACCCTGGGAATGATGTACTGCTTTCACTGTAGATGAAAGCAAAGATATTCTGTTATCTTTTGCTTGTTGGGATAAAGAAAAAAGAGTTTTCCATGTCATAGACCAGGGACTAAGATGGTCTAGTTTAGTAAGTAGACCAAATTTGGATCAATGATTGCTATTGGAATACCCATGTGATAAATTGTAAAATAATCATTTCCTAATATCTGTCTGTATTTCACACAGGGAAAACAGCAAGTTAATTGGGAAGTGATCAGAGCCAACAATCTGAATTCATCAAATCTTTTCTGTGGTTCTTAATCTCTGTCACTCTCCTAGAGGTGTACTGTTATTGGCTCTTCTTATCACAATAATGCTTACTCTATGGATCAGGGAGCCATTTACTGGCTGTATCTATTCCACTTCAGGCACTAGGAAATAACCATAGGATGGGTCCAGTGCACTACGAGTTCACAAGAAGTAGACTTAAATCAAAACTCCATTTGCTATCTGATTCTTTGTATTGATCAGATTCTCAGTTGCAACCAACAAAGGCTACTCTTTCTATTTTATTTTATTTATTTATTTATTTTAAAAGATTTTATTTATTTATTCATGAGAGACACAGAGAAAGAGAGAGAGAGAGAGAGAGAGAGGCAGAGACACAGACAGAGGGAGAAGCAGGCTCCATGCAGGGAGCCTGACATGGGACTCGATCCCGGGTCTCCAGGAACACACCCTGGGCCGAAGGCAGGCACTAAACTGCTGAACCACCCAGGGATCCCCTACTCTTTCTATTTTAACAAGTAAGGGATTTATAAGAGTTCTAGATAACTTGAAGAATCATTAGGAGGGCTGGAGAAACAAAAATCAAGGCTGAATTTCTAACATCTCCCAAAATGACACAGCAGAATCAATCTGCCAAGGGAGTTGCTGCCTCTGGCATGAGCAGAAGTTTCCAAGTCAGGATGCAGCCTGCTAAATTAAGAAAAAGTGTCCAGGGCAGCCCAAGTGGCTCGGCAGTTTAGCGCCGCCTTCGGCCTAGGGTGTGATCCTGGAGACCCGGGATCAAGTCCCATGTTGGGTTCCCTGCATGGAGCCTGCTTCTTCCTCTGCCTGTGTCTCTGTCTCTCTCTCTCTGTGTCCTTATGAATAAATAAATAAAATCTTAAAAAAAAATAAAAAGTGTCCATAGCTAAGGACTTCAGAACCATACTGTCTCTGCCATCATGCCAGCAAACTGGATGCCACAAGTAGAGCCCATTTCCTCAGATACCTCCCTTCTAAATTAAGGCTCACATGGTGCAGAACCTCATTTTAGTGGCAAAGGAGCCTGGGAAATGTAGTTTTTGGATATACCTGGGAAAGAATAGTAATCAAATGACAGATATAATATATACCGACATAAACTTCCAGTTTAACTGGTAAACCACAGTGTTGTTTTGCTAACCTCCAATTTTCAGAGATTAAAGTTAGTGTGGGGCCAGTGTCCAATAACCCACGCAAGTCTGGGTATTTCTCTTCCCCCTACTCTTGCAAATGCCCACAGGTTCCTATGGGGAAGATTTGGAGGTAGACTTACAGTGTGTGCTTATGATGTTTTTGCAAAGTCCTTCCTCAAGGATACCTGGAATTCCCTTTATTCAAAGTCCTCTGCATCTCTGAGCTAGTTCTGGTTTTGGAATAGAGGAGTCTGTCATTCTCTATTATGGGGCTTAAGACAGGACTCTTTTTGACCTCAAGTTTTCTTTTTGGAGTGTGGGATAGGGAATTGGGGCACTTTTGGAAGACCAACTTGCTCATATGAGTTTCACATCCTTCTAGTGAGCATTCCTGTACTCTAAAGGCTGATAATCTTAGACCTATCTTTCCCAGACTCCTCTACAGCTATGGCTGTAGGTGCAACTTAGTTTTTCCCAGTCACATATGCTTTTGTGGGAGTCAAGTGGTGAGAGGTCTAGAGTGGGGAATGTTTTTGCTGGTATGTATCTGCTAGGTACTATATGGTCCTGGGGTCAACAGATCTGGTTCTGGCTTACAGATTCCAAAGCTTTCTGATTGTGGCCGACTAAGAGTTCCCTTGAGGGCTGGTTCTATGGTGTTGATCTGAGAGCTATCTCCGGAGGCCCAGTCTAGAGTCTGCTCCTCCAGCCTTCTTATCATTTTGTAAGCACCTAATGTTCTGTATTAAATTCCTTTCTGTTAAAAAAGAGAGATTTGTTTTCTGTTACCTAAAATGGAATCCTGACCGAATCAAGACCTTGGTGGGCTACTATATTTTGGTCTTCGAGGCCCATGACCAACTGACCATAATCATAGATCCTTACAGATTTTATCATTCTACCTACTATTCTAGCCTCCAGCATTAAAATACCCCTATTTTTCCTCTGCCACTTAGAATCCTATTGTTATTGAAATAGGGATCTTCATTCAGTGGTAGCATCTCTCACCCACATCCTCAGAGAACACTGCTACTGTGCTTTTCAGAGATGCTGTGCTCCCTCTTGTCTAGGTATTTCTTAATTGCCAGAGTCTACACAATGTCTTCTGGGCTCTTATAATTGGAGAATCATTGAATGAGTTCCACACGATAACTCTACTCCAACATTTGTTTCCATAATTGACTGCTTTCCTTCTTTGTTACAACAGGAATTTTCTGGAAACTCAATTTTATTTTGTATAAGCCACCATTGAGTTCAGTGT